AGCAATGAAAAATGATGAGTTAGTAAGTAAGGAGTTGTTAGTACGTAAGGAGTTGTTAGTAGGGAGTTGTTAGTAAGTTGGGAGTTGTTCGTAAGGAGTTGTTACTAAGGACTTGTCCCTTATATTCTTAGCTCTTTCGGTAAAGTCACGTTGAAGGGAAACAATAAAATAATAAATATATAAAACAATAAAAATTCTCACGTTTTATATTTTTTTTATATATTGAATATAAATTACTGCAGTCACAAAAGCTTTAAATCAAAATTTAGCTTGTGTTGCGCCCAAAACGTGATTTATTTTATTTTGTACCTACCACGTGGTGACTTTAACCTGAAAGGACCAAAGAGTATCACGCTGAAGAATATTCTCCGTGTCTCTGGTGGACTGGAGTAGGCTCGTGGCTCGTGGTCACAGCTGTGGGTGACAAGCGTGGCAGATGCAGCGTGCCCAGCCGACTTGGGGACAGATCTGGCTGAAATGAAGCTTTGTACATGACCCGCAGTGGTGAAGTATGGTCAAACAACCTCCTCCCCATTACTGCCATGGAGTTGGGGAAGCCTTCATCCATTGGTGGAATGAGATGGGCGGAGTTTATTCTGTATCAACGATATATTGAAATGACAAGAGGGACCTTGAAAGTGTTTCTCAGAGGGGAGAAACACCTTAGGCTTAAGTTTCAACGCGTACCATTGAAGTATTGTTCATTGTAAGAGCTGGCTAAGTGTACATGTTGTAGAAGAATAAAAAAAGATTTCCCCCAAAAAAATATTGCTCAAAATGCCCCCCCCCCAAAAATTGCTATTCAAAATATTTAAACAAAAATAATAATTGCTATGCTATGTAAATAAAAATAACAATTTTCTCAACCTTGGCCACAATATGTGGACTTGTCTTCATGTAACAATGCATAGATTTCTGTTTTTATGATTGTGGTTATGAAGAAAAAACAGCAACGTTGTAATAGAATAACACTCTTAGACATTTTCTTTGGTTCTTTCGGTAAAGTCACGTAGAATGAGAATAAAATAATAAATTGATAAAATAACAATAATATTCTCACGACGTTTTGGCCACAACACAAGCGGCTGTCCTACCAGACAGTCTCGTCCCTTCACCTGATGAAGGCCGCTTGTGTTGTGGCCGAAACGTCGTGAGAATATTATTGTGTTATTTTATTTTATCAATTTATTATTTTATTCTCATTCTACGTGACTTTACCGAAAGAACCAAAGAAGATGAATCATTGCAGTCACGAAAGCTTTAAATCGAAACTCTTAGACATTATTGTAAAAAAATAACATGGAGTCGATTCCCGTTGCGGCTTCCGACGTTCAGATGGAGTCGATTCCCGTTGCGGCTTCCGACGTTCAGATGGAGTCGATTCCCGTTGCGGCTTCCGACGTTTTAGATGGAGTCGATTCCCTTTGTTGATAACATGGGAATCGATTGTTGGTGAATGGAGCTCGTGGAATCGATTTTCAATGGGGGGGATAAAGCGGGAATCGAGATGGTGGTAGTGATTATAGCTGATGGAATCGATTACCATTGGGATAATATTGGTGGAGTTATATTATTGTTACTGCTCCTCTGTTTAAATATAATTTATGTGCAAACTTTTCCGACTACACACTTATCGAAACAATGCTCTCCATAACTTTTACCCCGGGGTTTAAATATTGTTTTGTGATTAAAAAAAACCCCGAAAGAGCGGGAAACATTGAACACCCTGCTCACTGATTGGTCCAAGCGGCACCCGGCCACCTCCCACCATCGCCTTCTCCTATTGGACGCTGTCGTCAGCAGCGTTGCGCTCCCATTGGCTCAGCCACTCGGACCACGATTCGCGTATCGTAATCATAGCTCGACACGATTCAGGACGAGAAGGAATCGAAACAACGGAATCGCGTTCGAGTAAAAACATTTGATTTAAATATGGTACGTCAACAATACACCTTTTATTTTTTTTACATTTATTTACACCGCGCGAATGCCAACGCGAGTTTTATTGTCGATGTTGAGTTTTGTAATTTCGTACTGTAAAAAAAGTTTTCCTCAAAGTCGCTCCCGCCTCGGAGCCAATCGGATTTGGCGTCTCCCTTCCCACGTGACGCGAAGTTTTTTTTGTTTTCCCGCCAATTTGTTTTGGCTCCTCCCCCTCACCCACCGCCATTTTTTTTAATCCGTGAGGGGGGTGCAGACGCCGGAAAATTTATTTTTGTTGCTCAATTAACGACGAGGACGAGGAGGACGACGAGGACGACCCGCTAGGAGCGTGAGGTCACCACTTTTGAGAGAAAGCGTGAGGTAAAGAATGCCCTCTACCGTCCACTCCGTGATTTGCAGACGATTTGCAGATGCAGCAGTGTTGAGTTTGTGGACGCTAAAAGGGGCTGCAACTAACCCAACTATCGTGCAGTAAATCGATGTGAAAAAAACACAAAGTATAAATTACATCAATATAATTAATGTACTCAGTATATTCTTCAATAAGCTGAGCTATTAACACAGAGCAACTGGGTATACACTACGCTATATAATGAATGCCATATAGTAAACCAATAAAAAACTAAAATATAAACTACCTCAGTGTTTTATGAGACCTCCTTTGCCAGTAACAAGATATAGTAATAGGTTTTACTCTTTTAACTGGCACAAAAACTGACACCTTTATTCAAGTCATCATGTGTTGTGGTTATTGCAAACATGATGCCTTGAATAAAGGTGTCAGTTTTTGTGCCAGATAAAAGGGTAAAATCTATTACTATACCTCAATGTTATCAATAAACTCTCCAACCAGCTGAGCCACCAACAATAAGTCGGTATATATCACAATGCCATATGGCAAAACAATGGGTGGATTCTTCTATTCGTGACTGCAAGGATCCATACTCTTTGGTTCTATTCGGTAAAGTCACGTAGGTAACAAAAATAAAATAACAAAAATCACGACGTTTTGGCCACAACGCAAGCGGCCTTCATCATGACGGCACGGTCCCTTCACCTGATGAAGGCCGCCTGTGCTGTGGCCGAAACGTCGTGATTTTTTGTTATTTTATATTTTAATTAACCTACGTGGTGACTTTACCGAATAGAACCACAGAGTTTGTGGGATCCTTCCCCTCACCTCCAGCACCATGGACAGCGACGGGCCCCGTTCACAGGGACGAGTCCATCCACGCTCCTCGGGACGGAGGAGTGGGGGAGAGAAACAGCCACGAGGCGCTGTTATACTCCACGTTACAAACCACAACGTTAACCGTGCTGTGAGAGGTGTTAAGAGGCAGTGCCAGCGAAAGAGCTGCGGTCTGAGGTCACCGTAAAAATACAATTAGTTAAGAACCGACATGACTTTACCGAAAGAACCAAGAAGATTAATCCCTGCAGTCACGACAGCTTTAAATCGAAATCTATCGTGTAGTGTTGAGTCTATGGTGTAGTGTTGAGTCTATGGTGCAGTGTTGAGTCTATGGTGCAGTGTTGAGTCTATGGTGCAGTGTTGAGTCTATGGTGCAGTGTTGAGTCTATGGTGCAGTGTTGAGTCTATGGGTAGTGTTGAGTCTATGGTGCAGTGTTGAGTCTATGGTGCAGTGTTGAGTCTATTGTGCAGTGTTGAGTCTATGGTGCAGTGTTGAGTCTATGGGCAGTGTTGAGTCTATGGTGCAGTGTTGAGTCTATGGTGTAGTGTTGAGTCTATGGTGCAGTGTAGAATCTATGGTGCAGTGTTGAGTCTATGGTGTAGTGTTAAGTCTATGGTGTAGTGTTGAGTCTATGGTGCAGTGTTGAGTCTATGGTGCAGTGTTGAGTCTATGGTGCAGTGTTGAGTCTATGGGCAGTGTTGAGTCTATGGTGCAGTGTAGAGTCTATGGTGCAGTGTAGAGTCTATGGTGCAGTGTAGAGTCTATGGTGCAGTGTTGAGTCTATGGTGCAGTGTTGAGTCTATGGTGTAGTGTTGAGTCTATGGTGTAGTGTTGAGTCTATGGTGCAGTGTTGAGTCTATGGTGCAGTGTTGAGTCTATGGTGCAGTGTAGAGTCTATGGTGCAGTGTAGAGTCTATGGTGCAGTGTAGAGTCTATGGTGCAGTGTTGAGTCTATGGGTAGTGTTGAGTCTATGGGTAGTGCTGAGTCTATGGTGCAGTGCTGAGTCTATGGGTAGTGTTGGTTTTTCTCACACCAGATAACCCTCGAAACTCCGTTTGGTACAGGACCATCCAGACTGTGTGTGCCCCCTTTTATTGCTGTGCATGAGTTTGTCAGAAGTGACAGACTGAACTGTTTAATTTTTAACACGTAGGCTTTGGCGACCAATATCCATAATAGAGGTTGTTCTGTTTACGTGACAACCCTTACCAGTTGGCCGTGTCGGGTGGTGGCGGGTTTAACATTAATATATTTAAGTGATCTAACCCACAAAAAGCCTTTGTGTATGGATGAATTGTTTAAACCAAACATTTCAAGTCACTTAAATATTTTATTTTGATTTAAAGCTTTCGTGACTGCAGTAATTCATATTCTTAGCTCTTTCAGCAAAGTCACGTTGAAGGGAAACAATAAAATAATAAAATATATACAAAACAATAAAATTCTCACGACGTTTCGACCATAACATAACGACCGTTTGTGTTATGGTCGAAACGTCGTGAGAATTTTTATTGTTTTATATGTATTTTATTATTTTATTGTTTGCCTTCAACGTGATTTTACCGAAAGAGCTAAGAATATCACTAAAAGATGTCCGTTTTTAATGACGCTTGCCGCCCCAACATTTTTGTTCCCGCATTCAGGAGCCATCGAGGGTGACAACAGGGGTCGTGCCATTTCCCATCGCCGGTTTTTAAACTACCCGTCGAGCTACGAGCCCCGGGATCTCTTCGACGCCTTGAAAGGAGGAGAAGGCCTCGACGTTTCTCGAGCGATCTTTAACAAGAGACCCCCGGGCGGACTCGTCCCTCGCAAAAGCATTCTTTTCACCCCAAATCGCCCCGTATTTTTCCGCCGGGTCGATGCCGAACGTCGTAGACGTTCGGGCCTCCCGCAGGGCGGCGGCGGCGAGACGCTCCGCTCCCCCGACGCCCCGCTTCGACCGGATCCCGCGACCGTCGGCCTCGAAGATGCAGAGCGAATCGGCCAGGCTGCTGTCGTTCTCCAAGGGGTGGCCCCGGTCGTCCCCCGTGCGGCCCGCGGACTTGGCGCGGGCCGGACTCTACCGCATGGGCTTCAGCGACCTGGTGGCCTGCTTCCGCTGCGGCGGGACGATGCATCACTGGGAGGAGGGGGACGACCCCGCTCGGGAGCACGCCAGGCACTTCCCCGCCTGCGCTCGCGCGGTGGGTGACGCCAGCGACGGCGCCGGTGACGTCCTGACGCTTGTTTTGGGGGGGCGAGGCCGGGTCTTTCCTAAAACTAGTGCGGGGTGCCGCTGAGAATTTGCAACGATTGGCACGAAGAGATGTGCCTCGGGGCTCTGGGTACCGATTGGAGATGATTCTAGGCGTGTTTAGACGACGATGGCGAACGAGCGGAGACCCTTTGGCTCGTTGAATCCATTGACGCGCATTCGCGATCAGATTCGTGTTATATTAAAAAACGATAGTCCAAAAATAAGTGTGAACATTTCTTTGTAAGCACCCTGTGCTAACACAGTTATTCTTGACCTGGCGAGGGCCCTACTCAGCGCTGCGATGACGTAGCTATTTGGTTTCAGATGCCGACCCTCTCCGTCACGCAAAGCAGCGACGTTGCTCAGCGAAGCGGGCTCAGCATCGTCGCGTGGACATTTATATTTGCCGAATACCCTCGCACGTGGCCTGTATTCTAAATGCGGTGGGGAAAAACCAGAGGTCCCGGGTAAAAATCCACGTGACCACGGGGGGAACAGAGAGAGAGAGAGAGACACGGAAACTCCAAATAGGCAGAAGCAGGTGTCAGGGTCGGGTTTCGAGCCCATGACCTCCTGCATACCAGGCGAGGTCGTTGACATCTCCTGGCTACCGCTGCACCCTTGTAGATGAGTCTCAGTTCTTCAATGCTTTGTGCCTGTAACCATGTTCAGTGATGAGACTTTCCCGCTCCCCGCGCTGAAGAGTCGGCTCGCTCATTTGACAGCAGAGCCACGGCAACAAAATCAATTAAACTCTGCCCACCGTTGTAAAGACGTTGCAGCTGCCGTGCCGTAGAGGCGGTCACGTGGATTTCGGATTAACCGAGGCAACGTATTTGTTCGGTTTAAGCGCCGCGTGACTTGTAATAAAAACGTCCAAGAATTAACCAATGTTGTATAAACTGTTTTTAGATTATTTGGACTTCAGGGGAATATCCACGAGTTCTTAATCTCTGTCAAAATCGCAGGTGTGCGGTTCATCTGCAAATCGAATAAACCGCGCACGGATCATCCAGAGTCTACTGTAATTCAAATCAAGATTCTACTGTAATGTTATCTTCTCTATAAATTCCCCCACCTGTTGTATATGCCGGGTCTTGAAAATTTTAATAAAAATGATAAAAATGAAATAAAATTTGGAAAAATGCGTAATTATCCGAAATAATGTTAATTGATGTAATTATGCGCATAGGTTATGCTAGTTATGGAGATGTAATCGTATTAAGTCATGTAAATGACTTAACCTTTTTAGGTCAGTCTAAAAAGGTTTTGTTTCGAAGATGTCGTTTAAAAAAAAACGATTCCAATGCCCTCACGGCTTCCTGGGGAGCCGTTCCAAAGGGCGGGGACAATTCGATGAGCTCACTGCATCACCGTCGTCGCCATTGACGCTGTCGTCACAGTCGTCATCGTCGTCACCATTGTCGTCGTTGCGTTTGTTTCTGGGTGGTGCCTTTTCCCCGCAGGCCCCGTTGCCGCAGGCCACTCAGGATGGCCCCGACTCCGCACTGTGTCCAGAGATGCGTTCGTTCGGGGCGCGAATCAGATCTTTCGCGAGCTGGCCGTACACCGCCAATGTGTCCCCGCATGAGCTGGCCTACGCAGGCTTCTACTATTCCGGTACGGTTTGTGCTGCTGCTGCCGCTGCTGCTGCTGCTACGTAGAAGTGGGTGGAGGCCTTCCCCGGTGCTGTAGTCGTCCCCGTTTTGTGGGGGGAGGGGCGGCTCTTTGGGGGGCAAGCGCCACGGTGGCTCGGAGATGTTGACTACCTCGCCTGGAAGGCAGGAGGTGGTGGGTTCCATCCTGACGCCTGATGCGTATTTGGAATTTTCGTGCCTCCCCGTGGTCGCGTGGATTTTTTCTGCCGGTCCTCCGGTTTTTTTCCTCGCACATTTAGAAACACGCGTTTAGAGAATTTGGCTGCGTTTAAATTATCATGCGATAAGCCACTTCGTTGAGCTATCGTTTGTGAATGCCAGGTGGTCGCCTCTGAAAAAGAGCTGAATAGCAACTCAATGGTCCTAACACCTAGTATCATAAAATAGTTTCAATGTTGGTTAATAGTTTTGGTCAAACACCTGAGGGAGGTCAGAATCAGAATATTTATCTATACTGGAGGAATCCATTGAGCTGTGAAGCTCTTTTTCGCATGATGTCCAGTCGGGGCATGGGGGGTAAGAACGTCACGGCAACGAACAGTTTACAAAAACACGATAGGAGTGCGAAGTCCTGTCGGTTCCAAGCGTGTTGTAGAGTGCGTACACGAAACACGGGGAAGGCCTTTACAAGTTGTATAATCTCATGCAGATGTAGATGACGCTGGTTCTTCACGTTCTGTAGATGTAGATGACACTGGTTCTTCACGTTCTGTAGATGTAGATGCCGCTGGTTCTTCACGTTCTGTAGATGTAGATGCCACTGGTTCGTCACGTTCTGTAGATGTAGATGCCACTGGTTCTTCACGTTCTGTAGATGTAGATGCCGCTGGTTCTTCACGTTCTGTAGATGTAGATGACGCTGGTTCTTCACGTTCTGTAGATGTAGATGCCACTGGTTCTTCACGTTCTGTAGATGTAGATGCCGCTGGTTCTTCACGTTCTGTAGATGTAGATGCCGTTGGTTCTTCACGTTCTGTAGCTGTAGATGCCGCTGGTTCTTCACGTTCTGTAGATGTAGATGCCACTGGTTCTTCACGTTCTGTAGATGTAGATGACGCTGGTTTTTCACGTTCTGTAGATGTAGATGCCACTGGTTCTTCACGTTCTGTAGATGTAGATGACGCTGGTTCTTCACGTTCTGTAGATGTAGATGCCACTGGTTTTTCGTATTCTGTAGATGTAGATGCAACTGGTTCTTCACGTTCTGTAGATGTAGATGCCGCTGGTTCTTCACGTTCTGTAGATGTAGATGCCGCTGGTTCTTCACGTTCTGTAGCTGTAGATGCCGCTGGTTCTTCACGTTCTGTAGATATAGATGCCACTGGTTCTTCACGTTCTGTAGATGTAGATGACGCTGGTTATTCACGTTCTGTAGATGTAGATGCCACTGGATTTTCGTATTCTGCAGATGTAGATGCAACTGGTTCTTCACGTTCTGTAGATGTAGATGACGCTGGTTCTTCACGTTCTGTAGATGTAGATGACGCTGGTTCTTCATGTTCTGCAGATGTTGATGCCACTGGTTCTTCATGTTCTGTAGCTGTAAATGCCACTGGTTCTTCACGTTCTGTAGCTGTAAATGCCACTGGTTCTTCACGTTCTGCAGATGTTGATGCCACTGGTTCTTCACATTCTGTAGATGTAAATGCCACTGGTTCTTCACGTTCTGTAGATGTAAATGCCACTGGTTCTTCACGTTCTGCAGATGTTGATGCCACCACCTCCATCTATTGTGAGGCGGTTGAACTTACGACTCTCGGTCCGAACGGGCAACTGGATGGGTTTGTTTATCTCTGAAAAGTTGACAGTGTCGATATGTAGGGGAGAGGTCCCTGTAACGTGTTTTCTATTTTGAGTAGGTCACGGAGATCTTGTGAGGTGCTTCAGCTGCGACGGTCATCTACAAGAGTGGGCGCTGGGAGACAGCGCTTGGCATGAGCACGCAAAGTGGTTTCCCAGGTGAGGCGTTTGGCACCTGCTGCTCCCGTGAAATGTATATATATACAGTGAGGGAAAAAAGTATTTGATCCCCTGCTGATTTTGTACGTTTGCCCACTGACAAAGAAATGATCAGTCTATAATTTTAATGGTAGGTTTATTTGAAAAGTGAGAGACAGAATAACAACAACAAAATCCAGAAAAACGCATGTCAAAAATGTTATAAATTGATTTGCATTTTAATGAGGGAAAAAAGTATTTGACCCCCTCTCAATCAGAAAGATTTCTGGCTCCCAGGTTTCTTTTATGCAGGTAACAAGCTGAGATTAGGAGCTGAGATTAGGAGTACACTCTTTAAGAGTGTGCTCCTAATCTCAGCTCGTTACCTGTATAAAAGACACCTGTCCACAGAAGCAATCAATCAATCAATCAAATTCCAAACTCTCCACCATGGCCAAGACCAAAGAGCTCTCCAAGGATGTCAGGGACAAGATTGTAGACCTACACAAGGCTGGAATGGGCTACAAGACCATTGCCAAGCAGCTTGGTCAGAAGGTGACAACAGTTTGTGCGATTATTCGCAAATGGAAAAAACACAAAAGAACTGTCAATCTCCCTCGGCATGGGGCTCCATGCAAGATCTCACCTCGTGGAGTTGCAATGATCATGAGAACGGTGAGGAATCAGCCCAGAACTACACGGGAGGATCTTGTCAATGATCTCAAGGCAGAGGGACCATAGTCACCAAGAAAACAATTGGTAACACACTACCTCAGGGGTCGGGAACCTATGGCTCGCGAGCCAGATGTGGCTCTTTTGATGATTGCATATGGCTCGCAGATAAAACAAAATATTCTCACTTGTTTTAATCCATCCATCAATTTTTCACTGCGCATGTCCTGTTCATGGCTGCAGGAGCAATTGTCCATTATTTTAATTGGATGATACTGGCCTACGTATGCATGTGAGCAGTCATTCTCACATCTTAAAAACATCAAGTCCAACCTACGATCACGTTTAACGGATGAAAGCCTCAACGCTTGCATGAAGCTTAACCTCACCAAGTACCAACCCGACTACAAAGACATCAGCAAATCCATGCAGCACCAGAAGTCGCATTAATGGTGAGTGTTATAACAACATTATTTAAAAGAATAAATTCAGAGGCTTATTATACTGACATTTAGTTGAATTCACTTTTAAAATATATTATATGGCTCTCACTGAAATAAATTTCCAAATTTTTTGCTTTCATGGCTCTCTTAGTCAAAAAGGTTCCCGACCCCTGCACTACCTCGTGAAGGACTGAAATCCTGCAGTGCCCGCAAGGTCCCCCTGCTCAAGAAAGCACATATACATGCCCGTCTGAAGTTTGCCAATGAACATCTGAATGATTCAGAGGACAACTGGGTGAAAGTGTTGTGGTCAGATGAGACCAAAATGGAGCTCTTTGGCATCAACTCAACATGCCATGTTTGGAGGAGGAGGAATGCTGCCTATGACCCCAAGAACACCATCCCCACCGTTAAACATGGAGGTGGAAACATTATGCTTTGGGGGTGTTTTTCTGCTAAGGGGACAGGACAACTTCACCGCATCAAAGGGACGATGGACGGGGCCATGTACCATCAAATCTTGGGTGAGAACCTCCTTCCCTCAGCCAGGGCATTGAAAATGGGTTGTGGATGGGTATTCCAGCATGACAATGACCCAAAACACACGGCCAAGGCAACAAAGGAGTGGCTCAAGAAGAAGCACATTAAGGACCTGGAGTGGCCTAGCCAGTCTCCAGACCTTAATCCCATAGAAAATCTGTGGAGGGAGCTGAAGGTTCGAGTTGCCAAACGTCAGCCTCGAAACCTTAATGACTTGGAGAAGATCTGCAAAGAGGAGTGGGACAAAATCCCTCCTGAGATGTGTGCAAACCTGGTGGCCAACTACAAGAAACGTCTGACCTCTGTGATTGCCAACAAGGGTTTTTGCCACCAAGTACTAAGTCATGTTTTGCAGAGGGGTCAAATACTTATTTCCCTCATTAAAATGCAAATCAATTTATAACATTTTTGACATACGTTTTTCTGGATTTTTTGTTGTTATTCTGTCTCTCACTGTTCAAATAAACCTACCATTAAAATTATAGACTGATCATTTCTTTGTCAGTGGGCAAACGTACAAAATCAGCAGGGGATCAAATACTTTTTTCCCTCACTGTAAATATTCACTAATTATGTGTTCCCCAACACATCCATCGCATTATATAATAATGATGTGTTCCCCGATACATCCAACGCATTATAAGATAATAACAAAATCATAATAAACGCGATAAAATAATAAATATAATGTGTTCCCCAATACAACCATCTCACTATAAGATCATAATATAAATAATAATAATAATGATGGTGATGTGCTCCCCAATACATCCACCACATTATACCCAGCCGGCATAACGTAATGACCCCCCCCCCTCTTCCCGCGTCGTTTGCTGAACAGCTGCGCGTTTGTTGGACGACAGAAGGGGGAAGCTTTCGTCCGCGGGTCGATGCGGCCGCCGGTAACAAAACATTTTCTCGCCAACTTTTGGTTTCGCAGGAAAATCGAGTTTAACGCCGGCGTGCGAACACGCCGCACGTACGATTTTTTGTTTCGTTTTTTAACGTTGACCTTGGTCAACTCCGGTCGTTGAACAGACGAGACTATCCTCGTCTCTTGATGGAGTTTATCAGGGGTCTTGAACACAAATAGACTCAAACTTAAACTTCGCAGGCAGCTTGAAATGTTGTTCATCATTCAGGGGTAAAAATACAAAAATAATGTGGTTTTATTACCAATATGCTCATTGTAAATATAGTAGTGTGTATAGTATAGTAGTGTATAGTGTAGTGTATAGTGTAGTGTATAGTGTAGTGTATAGTAGTGTAGTGTATAGTGTAGTGTATAGTGTAGTGTATAGTAGTGTAGTGTATAGTGTAGTGTATAGTGTAGTGTATAGTAGTGTAGTGTATAGTGTAGTGTATAGTGTAGTGTATAGTAGTGTATAGTGTAGTGTATAGTAGTGTAGTGTATAGTATAGTAATGTATAGTGTAGTAGTGTATAGTAGTGTAGTGTATAGTGTAGTGTATAGTATAGTAATGTATAGTGTAGTAGTGTATAGTAGTGTAGTGTATAGTGTAGTGTATAGTATAGTAATGTATAGTGTAGTAGTGTATAGTAGTGTAGTGTATAGTATAGTAGTATAGTATAGTAGTGTATAGTATAGTGTATAATATAGTAGTGTATAGTGTAGTGTATAGTAGTGTAGTGTATAGTATAGTAGTATATAGTGTATAGTGTAGTAGTGTATAGTATAGTAGTGTATAGTGTAGTGTATAGTAGTGTAGTGTATAGTAGTGTATGTATAGTAGTGTATAGTAGTGTAGTAGTGTATAGTGTATAGTAGTGTAGTGTATAGTATAGTAGTGTATAGTATAGTATTGTATAGTAGTGTATAGTGTAGTAGTGTATAGTAGTGTAGTAGTGTATAGTAGTGTATAGTGTAGTAGTGTATAGTAGTGTAGTAGTGTATAGTAGTGTATAGTATAGTAGTGTATAATAGTGTATAGTAGTGTATAGTGTAGTAGTGTATAGTAGTGTATAATAGTGTATAGTAGTGTAGTAGTGTATAGTAGTGTAGTAGTGTATAGTGTATAATAGTGTATAGTAGTGTATAGTGTATAATACTAGTACAGCTCACACCGGTGTGTTGGAGAGCCAAGCCACAACATTTAGAATCTGAGTATGACGTTTCACCAGTAATTACAACAACAACGAGCTTCATCAGGCGACGGCCAGATTAAATGTACTCTATAACTATATATAACTATGGGGATAATCGGTGTTTTTGGCATAGAGATCCACGGAATTTTTTTAATTTTATCTTTTTGGATGCTGCGCGATTTTGAGCCGTCTGCAGCTGCCCTGCCCCCCGTCGTTAGCGGCGACAATCGAGAGCCGGCTCTTGTCGTTCCGTTTGGTTTGCCGACACGCCGATTGCAAATCGAGCGCAGAGTAACGGTGCAAAAAGTCGCGATCGTTTTTAACGCGAGCGGTCGTCGCTTGCGTAACTTATCCATTTTTGTCGGTTCTTCTGCGTGACACCGGCGATGATTCTTACACGCGACGATGTTCATCTTTATTTGTCGGTTTAAAGGCTCCGCTACCGGGACAGACGCCGCAGAGTACAACCGCGGAGATTGAGCACGGTAAGACGGCGGATCCCTGCGCACTGTATCAGACCCTCACCTGATACAGGTGAGGGTCTGATACAGGTGAGAGTCTGATACAGGTGAGAGTCTGATACAGGTGAGGGTCTGATACAGGTGAGGGTCTGATACAGGTGAGAGACTGATACAGGTGAGAGTCTGATACAGGTGAGGGTCTGATACAGGTGAGGGTCTGATACAGGTGAGAGTCTGATACAGGTGAGAGTCTGATACAGATGAGAGTCTGATACAGGTGAAAGTCTGAGCCAGGTGAGAGTCTGATACAGGTGAGAGTCACGACCTCATGTATACCAGACGAGGTGGTCAACATCTCGCCAACTTTGCGCCCCATATGTAAGCAGTCTGGTGATGATCGACCATCACTTTTTGAAACCGCTGAAAGTGTGTGCGGGTGTGTCTCTGTGTGTGCGTCTGTGTGTGTGTGCGCTTGCGTCTGTGCGTGCGCGCGTGTGTCTCTGTGTGTCTCTGTGCGTCTCTGTGTGTCTCTGTGTGTCTCTGTGTGTCTCTGTGTGTCTCTGTGCGTCTCTGTGTGTCTCTGTGTGTCTGTGTGTCTCTGTGTGTCTCCGCGTGTGTCTCCGCGTGCGTCTGCGCGCGCTTCGTCCACAGCAGCGCCATCGACTGAGGAGCTTCTGGACAAGCTGGAAGAGCGGCTGTCCTGCAAGGTGTGCATGGAGCGCGAGGTGTCCACGATGTTCGTGCCGTGCGGACACGTGGCCACGTGCGGCCACTGCGCCCTCTCCCTGAGCCGGTGTCCTGTGTGCCGCGTCGCCGTGCAGACGTCGCTCCGGGCCTTCATGGTTTAGGCGGACGGCCGGGCGAAGGAGGAGGAGAGAGAAACGACCGCCGGGGATCCCGACCGCCCGTGGCTTCGACCGTTGGGGCGAGTTCGTTGATTCACCCATCCCCTCTCCCGTACCGAGGCATAAGCCGGTCGCTGGCGAGCGTTCGGCGTTCGTTTTTTCCGCACAGGGAGGCACGGGGAGGGCAATTTCACTTGGCCACCGGCCTCCACCCATAGAGCAGCCTTTTTTTTGGGGGGTTTCCGGAATGTAAAAGGGTTCATTGATAATTATCAGTGTGGTGGTTTTGAAGGCGTACGATGTCAGACTTGGAAAGTGAAGGAAGTAAAGTTTTAAGACTGTTCTGTAATCTTTACTTTAACCGGATGGTACGCATAGGTTACACACGTTAACAGTTTCTACATTTGGGAGCTATTACATTTAGAACTCTGTGGAGCGCTTATTGCAACGGGTGGAAGGGTCAAAGATTGCGGTGATTTTAAGGCGTACTTACATGTGTGAGTTATTACATTTATAACTCTGTGGGACAATGCAATGGGTGGCATGGGAAAGCGTTAATAAGAGTGCGTTGATTTTAACGTGTGCAATGTCAGACTTGGGAAGTGACGAAGTGAATGTACATGCACATATACACGTGTAAGCTGTTACACGTGTAACAGCTTACACGTGTATATGTGTAAGCTGTTACACATGTAAAGCTGTTACACGTGTAACTCTGTGGATCGCTTATTGCAATGGGCGGAAGGGTTAAAGAGTTGCGGTGATTGTAAGGCGTTTGGTGCTAGACTTGAAGTGAAGAAGTTACGTTCTGTAAATCTTTACTGGAACTGGAATGTTACGCAGAGTTCACGTGCGTAAACATTTTTACGTTTGTGAGTTATTACATTAATAAGTAATATTTTAAAATACTTTTTTTTTTAAAACACTCTTTAATGAAATGTACCCTACTGGTAACGGAATAACTCCACGACTCCAGGAAGTGGCCCCGAGGCTTGGCCACGACGTAAGGGGACCGTGGAGATTTACAGCCAACGACGTCAGTTGAGCGTGGACAATTACACCCAAGACGAAACATAACGTGTTAAAAAAAGATTGTTGGAAAATATATTTTTTACGCTAGAATACAGTGTTGTCATCATTATGACATAAGTATACCACATTGGTAAGTGGGTTAAGATTGAGTTACTATATTTGATGATACTACAACAACAACAGACAGAGTGAGTTCATACACAGCGTGTGCAATAATAGCCCCATGGAGCACTTATTGCAATGGTGATGTCATCAAAAATTTAATTGTCGCGTTCCACGGTGGCCGCTCTTTGTCGGTGGTGGGGAGCGGTGGGGGGTTGGTGGAGCGGTCAGCGCTACCAACGCCGGTGATCAGCCGAGTTCCATTCCCGCTCACGGCCAACGCCACAGTGATTGCGATCATCTGAACAACCGGTCCTGGGCCTCCCCTAGGTCGACTTGGCCTCGAATGAGTGCCCGCTGCGATATGTAAAGACATCGCCACTGGGGAGACAAAGGCGGCTGTGCGTGGTGTTGACCACCCCACCCCCCCCCCCCACCCTCGTGTGCCACAGTGCCGGTAGCCTTCATAGCTGCTGCTAATCGCTAACAGCACTTGCCCCAACAGTCTGTTAAGGCTACACGGGGAGGGATCTTCATAGCTGCTGCTAATTGCTAACAGCACTTGCCCCAACAGTCTGTTAAGGCTACACGGGGGGGATCATCATAGCTGCTGCTACTCGCTAACAGCACTTGCCCCAACAGTCTGTTAAGGCTACACGGCGGTGGCTGGGGGATCTTTGGGGCTGTGTGTGGACGGCTTTGTGTGTTCCTCGCCGCTTTTGTTTCTAAGAAGTGCCAGGTTATTTTTCCATCGGTCGCGTGAGAGATAATTTTCGGGGACTCGTTAACCCGCTGCTGGATTAGGGCCCCTCGGCGCGCCTCGTCCCGCGGGGGTTTGTGTTGGACTCGGCACTTGGCGAAGAGAACGCCGGAGCAGTTCCCCCCGCGGGAGATTGGTCGCGGGCAAATTTAGAATCGCTGCTCGGAAATGTTGAAAAGGTCGAATCCGTCCTCGGCTGCGACGCTCGCTCGTTCATTCAGCTCCAGCAGCAGCGTCCGCCTGCACCGAGTTTCTGGCTTTGCCGCTCTTAACCCAGAGTTTTTAAGCGGCTGCTGCGTTGAACATCGTCGCGCGTAGTGTAAACTAAATATATATACACACAGCTTCCTGAGAATGTGTTAAGTTGGGGAAACGTGATTATTTTGCGCGTTTAAAACACGGACGTTGTAAAACATCCTTCAAGGTTTTGATTTAAAGCTTTCGTGACTGCAGGGATTCATATTCTTGGTTCTTTCGGTAAAGTCACCACCACGTAGAAGGGAAACAATAAAATAAATAAAATATAAAACAATAAAATTCTCACAACGTTTCGACTGCAACACGAGCAATCATCATCAGGTGTGAAAACCACATAGCACCACGGAGAGCGATTTGGCAGTTGTTCAGACCGCATTCCATTCTCTTCCTCTCCCCCCTCCTCTTTTCCGAACATAGATGGACTCGTCCATTTGAACAACTGCCAAATCGCTCTCCGTGGTGCTAACGTTAAAAAAAACTCCACTTTTTAAAAATTTTCTTGCTGTGGTTTTCACACCTGATGATGATTGCTTCTTGTGTCGTAGTCGAAACGTCGTGAGAATTTTTATTGTTTTATATTTTTATTATTTTATTGTTTCCCTTCTACGTAGTGACTTTACCGAAAGAACCAAGAACATTCTTCAAGGTTCTTTCGGTCGAGCGACGTGGGGACAAAATAAAATAAATCACGACGTTTCTGTCGCAACACAAGCGACCCCCCCATCAGTTGAACTGTACCTGTTCCGCCTGATGACGGGCGCTTGTGTCGCGATGGAAACGTGGTGATGTATTTTATACACCTACCACGTGATGACTTTGAGAGCGTAGATCCCTGCAGTTTTCACGAAAGCTTCAAGTGAAGATTCTCAAGGCTGCTTTCAATGTTGCGTTCAGTCAGTGAAACGTCCGCACATTCGAGTCGAGTGCCCATTAATGGGCCACGCAAGGCCCAACGCGTAGGGCCGAGGCTTCGCTCTGTGGCTCGTTTGATCGTCTCGTTATTAAATAATTTTTGATGTCACCAGAGGACTTGGGAGTCTTGTTGTGTTTAGACTGCAGGAGCGGTGGGAGGGGTTTTAAGAGCTATTAAAGCTCTTGGTTGTCTCTCTCTGTCTCTGTGTGAGTCTCTCTCTCTGTGTGTCTGTCTGTCTATGTTGTGTGTCACTCTCTGTGTGTCTCTGTGTGAGTCTCTCTCTGCTTGTGTGTATGTCTGTGTGTCTATGTTGTGTGTCTCTCTGTTTGTCTCTGTGTGAGTCTCTCTCTCTCTGCTTGTGTGTCTGTGTTGTCTCTCTCTGCTTGTGTGTCTGTGTGTGTGTCTATGTTGTGTGTCTCTCTCTGTGTGTCTCTGTGTTGTCTCTCTCTGTGTGTCTATGTTGTGTGTCTCTCTCTGCGTGTCTCTGTGTTGTCTCTCTCTGCTTGTGTGTCTGTCTGTGTGTCTATGTTGTGTGTGTCTCTCTCTGTGTGTCTCTGTGTAAGTCTCTCTCTCTCTCTGCTTGTGTATCTATGTTGTGTGTCTCTCTCTGTGTGTCTCTGTGTGAGTCTCTCTGCTTGTGTGCCTGTCCGTGTGTCTATGTTGTGTGTCTCTCTGTGTGTCTCTGTATTGTCTCTCTCTGTGTGTCTATGTTGTGTGTCTATCTGTGTGTCTCTGTGTTGTCTCTCTGCTTGTGTGCCTGTCCGTGTGTCTATGTTGTGTGTCTCTCTCTGTGTGTTTCTGTGTTGTCTCTCTCTGTGTGTCTATGTTGTGTGTCTCTCTGTGTGTTTCTGTGTTGTCTCTCTCTCTCTGCTTGTGTGTCCCCGTGTCTATGTTTTGTCTCTCTCATATTTATCAATCTTTGGAAGAACGTAATCAACCAGGTGGGGCATTGATTGTTTTGTTTGCCGACTCTGTGTTATATTGCATTATATTTCCAAGTTTACTATGTTTGTTCTCATTCATTTGTACCTGATGATGGTCGCTTGTGTTGCAATCGAAACGTCGTATTCTATTATTATTAATTTTCTTCACCATTACGAATTGTCTGGGAATCAAAGCCAAGCAAGTTTCTTACCACAGTAACCGCACGAGACGTGAAACAAACGCTGCACGTGTAGTGGGTGCAGGGAGATTGGAGACGGCGTGTAGAGGCAACACGTTGATTTAACGACAACGGTAACAGCAATAGTAGCGGTCCCTAACACAAAGGGGTGACGGCCCCTTAACCCGCTACCTGGGGGTGGTACGGCCCCCGGACAAGCGTGGCCTATCACTGGGACCACGGGCTCTCTCGCCTCCGGCTAACGGTGACCTAGGGGAGGCTACCCTGACCCGACCCAGCCAAGGTACGGGTCTCGACCACTGTCCCGCTCGGTCCCGGCCATTACAAGGACGTCGGGACCCGGGGGCTCCCAGGGTCTCACCACTGGCCCGCTCGGTCCCGGCCCTTAGAAGGGCAGCGGGTCTGGGGGAATTGATAGGACGAGTGGAAATCAAGTAACCTCTGAGCTATTTTGATTAGTCTTATTAAATAATACAACAAAATTAATGACATTCAAAAAGTAATTTAGATTAAACACGTATTAGAACATTGTAACTTCAACAATCTCTTCAAGCAACGTGTATTACTAATTACTCATTCGTTAGCCCCCATTAGTCAATCGCGACTTCACGCTCATAATAATTCCATCAAACCCCCAGCTTTAAAGAACACAATACACCTGAATATAATTAAGGAAGGTCTATTTTCACCAACCACTAAACATATTAATCTTACATGATTCTAATCCGCCAAATCACAAACCAATGAACACACAACTCTAATGATCACGCTGGTTCACCTGCATGGCTGTCCTTACGATATCATCAGGCCCCAGAGCTAAAAGATATTTCGTTTGAGTGTAACCTGGTCGATTAGGATAATGATTAAACGGCGCATACGTAGAGAAGCTCTTGACGACTCGGAGACAAATATGGTAAGGGCTTCCGTCAGTTTATTCAGGGGCTTTACGCCGTACATTAGCTGACATAACTGTCCCCCCAGGAATTCGTCTGACTGCTCAGTTCTTCCCACTGCACCGACCGAGGGATCAGCCAACTCGGCTGGCTGGGTGAAGCAGCCTCTCCAGCCTGATCCCTACCCCGGCTCCCAACTCCCAGCCATCTTGTTCCCGGCTTCCACAACGACCCTGTCTCCATCCCGGGCTCCCCCTTAAATCCCCGACACGAGACATGATATTACCGTACCTGAAAATGCGCACATCCCTTGACGTCACATCCCATGACATCACATCCTGTGACATCATGTGACGTCATCGCACCGGAAGGCTCCCGTGACGTCACATCCCGTGACGTCATCACAACCGGGAGGTAAGTGTGACGGGAGTGTCCCCGACTACTCCTCGACACATATAAAGGCGTCTCCTTACTGAC